TCAAAACGCCTGCCATTTGAAATAAATAAATAAATTATTACTACTACTAAATTTCACTAAAGCTACATTAGATAATACTCGCAATTTATGAAAATTAACTTAAATTGTGTCTTTTAGTTTATTAGTCATATTTCGTACACTAATACTTATTACTAATTGTTTTTCATACTAATCATATGTACCCACTATTTGATGGGAAAACTATTTGCCAAAGGTAACTCTATGGCTTTGGTGACCCTTATAGTAACTGCAATATTTTGCCTCTAAAATCATTAATCTCTGCAGAAATACACATTATATAATAATTGGGTGAAAATATTAATTGAAAAACAATAACCAGTTCTGCAGATAATTCAACATAAATATCCGAAATTTTATAAACCTCATCAATACTAAAGAAATGTCTCGTGGTCTTCCAAAATAGCATGTTACCTTCACCCGGATTTAATTAAAGTCGTTTACAAGACCTACCACAAAATGGGAAATAGGATAATTTCTATTTTCACCTAAAAGCTTGCATTCCATTGAATTAATTTATTTCTCTGCCTTTCTTTTTATAGATGCAAATATGTACGCACATTACGTATTTCGTACATTTGCGAACTCGAATCAAGGGAAAGTAACATTTGAGGTGAGCTTTTAGTTGCACGGCATTTCTGAAATTCCTATTTACTTTTACCAATGAGAATGTGCTTTATGGGAGATTTTCGCTTTTAATTTTGGGAAGTGAACAGCTGCAAACAACATTTCCTTTCTTATTCTCATTTTAAGCATAAATTAAAGTGCAACGAGAATAATGTGACATCTGGGCCTAAATGAAGTTCAAAAGAAAATGAAGTTAATTTCGAATTCACCTTATTTTGTCACTGCGTAATATGGATTAACAGCAACTTTCAACTTGTATTTTATTGGCCTTTCAAGAGTCGAAAAAAGTGGTATTAAAAAATATTTTGTTTTAATTTTCTTTCTATTTCAATCCCCAGTTCTTAACAATGGTGTAGGCTAAGAAATGTTGGAGTGAATCAATCAATCCAAATTAAGATTAGAATAGCATGTCAACTAAACAAGATTAGTTATAAAATGCTAATTTATGATCGAGAAAATTTATTAATTCAGTGCTTACTTGGCTTGGGCCTTCTTAGCTATCACAGTGAAACGAGAAACGAAAGTGCGTTTAATTATCTGAACTGGAAGAAAGGGGCTTATTCTGCAAGCGATCAATCGACATAATAGTTCACTTGGCTAAGAATCCTTACGAAGATGGCGCCTAAATACTCAGGAGGAAGTATAAGAGTGAGAATTGCACAAAATTATTAGCTAAATCTCGAGAAATGTTGACAAGCCGAGGGTGATGTAATTCTATCACTAGCATTATTGTGCGCCAGTTGTACCGCTAGACATTTTTGATCTTAGCTGTTTTACACAGCAAAAGTCAACTGGGACTTGTGCACTGTTTGGTCACCAATTCTAAATTGCTAATCTAACTCCGATAAATTATCTACTAGTTTACCGCATTACTCATGCTGCTGCACATAAATAAACATTTGAAGCATGATAACTTATTTTCAAAATTAATGTGATTAACCTCAATATAATTCAAATTGGATGCTGAAGTCCCAAGGGCACCATAAATTAGTCCGCTATTTAGCTCATTCAGTAAATTCTCTTGCTTTTGCCAAAATGCGTCTATTCAATAAACCCAAGGGGAGAAATAGAGGGAATAAATCATTAAACGGTGGTGGTAGTTGGTCGAACTTAGTCCAATTATATCTTTTTATTTGAAGGCCGAATTTCACCATTTATTCCTTTTTTCAGACAATTTTCCCCCTGTGTAAATCAGTTTTGTACAGACAACTCAAGTTGATGTATTTACACAGTGTCAAAAAATGATTCAGTTATGTTTATTTTTAAATTTCGCCAAAAGAAGTGTTTTGTAATACTTATTGTTTATTTAGCGAAAAATATTTTTATCATTATAGAAGACCGAAACTATTTAATTTAGTTTGATTCTTGTAAAATCTGTCTTCAATTTGTTGCAGCAATTGGTCCGATGTCTCTCCGCCTTAATTCATGGAAATTCAGCCAGCAAGCTGATGTGGATCTTCAATCTCTACGACACCGAAGGCGATGGAGTGATTGATAAGACAGAGATGTTTAAGGTCGTCCAATCTATCTATGATCTACTTGGTAAACATACCGACCCCCCATACGAAGAAACAACTGTCAAAGAACATACGGAATATGTCTTCAGTGTAAGGACCAAAAAACCCGAATGTTAACATTCCATTACCTAATGTAAATTATGAATAAGAAATTTAAATTAGGTAAGAATTGATTAAATACCATCTAAAGGCACTTTTAGAAAGTGCAAATTATTGTGAGCGAATGAGATTTATTTGAAGAATTTTGTCTTTTAAACATCACGCAGTACTTTTCATTGTGTCGTCGATATTGATATTGGTTAATCAATATTGAATTGTTTAGCGTTGTGCATTTTCAAATCACTACAAATTCACATCTTGCAAAAGCGTATTAAAAAACGAGAGGGTTCGTTACAATTTACTATTTTCTAGATTTCAGAGACAAAATTTATGGTAAAATTTAGGTTGGATTGCTTGTATTGGGTGTTCGGGATAACCTTTACAAAATAATATCATGTTTGCTGAATGCCTTAAATCTGCTCACACACAATACATATCTTTTAAAATGTCAAATCCTACTTCATTCATATATGTGATGGCAAGGTAAATGAATGTTGATTGATTGAAAACCACCTGAATTATGGAAAAATAAAAGTGTTTATCATGTCGACTTGCACAGGCCAATATAAAAAGCTACTGTGACTGAAAGAAAGCCGTTTAGTAGACTACTTGACCCACTTGAACATCGGCATCGGAATTTTGGCTTTATCGCCTTAGTTAGCTGGCTATTCCAGTCTTTATCACGGAAGTTACACTCAGTGAATATCTTTGCCACTACAAGCTCGAACCACTTAACCTATCATCAAAATAATCTGGCAAAGACAGAAGAACACTTGGGAAAAGAAAAAAACATGGTAAAGCACACGCACATTGATTCCCTTCCAATGAGAAAAATTTTCAAGGTCATTATCACAAAAGGCAGAATAACGAACAGCTTGGTTACACATGGGGTAGATTTAAGTTTTCAAAACTCTCTCGGTTTCCTAGATGATTGTGCTCCCCTGTCAATGGTGAGATGGACGATTAAGCGTTCATTTTTTTGAAAGGATAATATGGTACTAAAAGGACGATGTAGTATTATTTGTCACTTTAGTTGTGAAGCCCTGGATAGTGAACAGTGGTACACAGTAATGGGGACTTCCCACACCTCAGGGAATAGTCAAAAGTGGTTGGCAGTCCATCTTCACGACTGCACTAGTCCTTATGTACGTCTAACCCTCTGAACTTTCAAGATATCAAGTCGCTGAACTAGTACGTATGGAGACACTTTCGACAAAGACCCTAATTTGGTATTAGTATTACAATAGAGATATAACTAAAACGGGTTTTTGAGGCCCTTAACAGTAAGAGTAAAATCTGTTGGCACCAGTTTCAGGATAACAAAAGTATTGGTGATACAATTCCCATCAAATGACAGTTATTTTGAGTAAAACTCTTTTGTAAAGTTATGAGTATCTTGTCTATTGATTTTCAGAAAAATTAATCAAATTTTGAGATTGTCAACGGTCTTTGTTACCTGATTTAATTGCCAAATTTTTAATAACCTTCAGTCGATCAATTGTACAATTTTCAATATACTTTGAGTAGTTACATATCATTAATCTAGACATAATTGTACTTATTTAGATGCAGCATAGCAGAAATGCTGGAATTCCAAAGTTCGTTCTTGCATTTTGCTTTTCTTTTCTCCTAAACAAGAAGCCAATTACTCTGTTTTGTCCTTGAGATTAATGTTCAGTCAAAATTGCCTTTGCATGGATTTTGGACATTTATATTAGCATCAAGGGATCAAACGCGCAGGAGGGTTTTCGCAGTTAAATTAATTTCAATTTCCAGTTCTCCTAATCTCGCCTTTTCTTATTCGAGTTATGGTCTACCACTCAGTAGGAACATTGGAACGAACAAATTACAGTGCTTTATATATATTGTCTTCCCGGAGAGGCTAAGGTCTTTGAATTAACTAAGGCTCTTTTTATCTTCTACTATTTCCGTTAGAAGAGCATTAATTTCATTATAAAAAAATTGAACTCACCCATTTTGCAAAGAAATGATTCACATTGAGTTATCCATACTACTTAATTACTCTCCGTTAAACCAGAAATAGTGAAATAACTTCAGAAAGTTTGGAAATCTGTTAAAAATGAAATATCTGGCAACAACCGTTAATAAAATGAAATTTTTGTTTTTCATTTTGACATTTCGTTTCATTTTTAGAAACTTGATCTAAACCAAGATGGCGTGATCAGTCCCGAAGAATTTTTAGAGGCTTGTCAAAACGTGAGTTCACGCTTTAACTCGTCTAAAATCTAAATAAACAACGAAATTTAACTAAAGTATTTCAACCAACTTTTCAAAAGCTTGACTGAAATGTGATGCAGACCCCGTCATTCCACAAATTGTTATTTAACCGGAAAACAATTTTTACTCCGCCTTAATCAAATTACTAAATTTGATCTTTATTGCAAGTTTTGAACATAAACAAGACAATAGAAAATACTATAAAAAGTAGCGTTTTTTGTATTAAATCGAATCGAAAATCTCTTGCAAAGCACATTACTACTGTGATATTTTTCAGTACCAATAATTTACTATAACCGTTTGAACGAAATGGTATCTGTGTGCATGGAAAGAGGTTGTTTTAAACAAAACAAAGCTATGGATAATCCTTTATTTTTAATGTGGCGGGAGAATTATCGTTCTTAATGTAAAAGTATAAGTCTTTATTTCAGAAGACTATGGATTTTATTTCTCTAGATTTATAATTTGTGAAAACTTGCTTTATATATCAAAAGTAATTCATCATGGACATTCAGATCATTCGTTAATTTAGCAATGAAATTCACCTATTAAAAGCAATAATGTATTAACATAAATTAAATAAGATGATTTCAGAATTCCTATATGCGTTCTAAAAATAATTATTATTTCTTAATGAGCAAAAAAGTTAATCACACTGCTTTTGCTATGTAAATTAGCCCTTTCATTAGCTTTTAATACCATAAATATAATTATTGTTATAAAATTCACGCCAATTTTATTAAGTAGACTCAAGAAGTACCCCCTCCACTATTACTTGCTAAGATAGCGTTAATGTTTAAATTTTCTCTCAAATCTGGGCTTAAATGTTTTTCTCGTGCATGCAGTCATCAAGGACTCCAAAATTCTTCTTCAGAGGTCACGCCACATGAATACGTGATTGCCACAATGAGGCCTCCAAAGGCTCGTAAATTTAATTGCTCTCAAAATGAACATTAGAATTGCTCTAAGGGGAATAAATTCAGTTTCCTTTATTGTAAGTGGTCCATCCAATACAAGAACGCTTAATTATGTAGTTGCGCGTTTTGAGTATTTTAGCTTGAATTTAGTTTTAAATCGAACTAACTACAAACTACAGGGCAATGAGACAAAAGGCGTTGAAATTAACTCATATGGTTAATGAATAAATCATTGGCTTTCGCTAATTGTACCTTTAAATAATTAATTTATGATTTAGAGTTCCATTGTTTTTCACCTAATTAATTTTCGAAGTTGGAGCTATTTGGCAGTAAGCAAAAAAGTGAATATACTGATTTGCCTTATTTCTCATTATTAATCATAATAGTTCAAACGGACTTGTCACATGCGCACATTAGAAGAGCAACTACAAATAAATCCAGTATGGCATAACAATGCAATAGAGAGGGTGGTCAAGAGGAAGTCTAATCGAGTGTCGTGCTGATTTAGTAATATTTATTTATATCAAAAGGCAGGCGTTTTGATAGTTATCATTAGCCCTGGAGCTGACTTCGGGGTTTTGATAGTTATCATTAGCCCTGGAGCTGACTTCGGGGCTTCACAGAGCGGAGAAGGAACATCAAAGTGACAAAAAGTCGAGAGGGGGAACAGAATAACGCTTCACAGAGGTAAAAAAGACAGACAGACAGACACAAAGACATAAAAAGGTAAGATAAGTACTCTGGAAGAGGTCGAATGTGACATACAATGGGGTCATGGTAGTTTGAAGTCAGAAGTCAACTGCCGATCAATAGACTTTTTGCCGTATAAGTATACGTTGCCCAGGGCGCACCACGTGGAGGTAAGTCTAATGCGCACCCTGATTTAGTAATATATATATATATATATATATACTTAAATGGCTTTGGATAGCCCATATGGTTGAAAAGTAACTGATTCACATTTAGAAGTCGTGATGCCGAATTTCGGAAAAAAGACTCACTCAAACCCCAGATTCTAGGTTGAAATTATATTAATTGAATAGTGTTTCGTTGTGAAATTTACTTGATTGGTGGCACCACCTGGATTCATAAGCATTTCATGGTATCATCATTATCTTAACAATACGTTCATTTTTTCAGGATCCAAATATATCCGATGCCCTGGGTTGCCTACACACATCGATATAACCGAAATTCTCCCCAAAAATCGTTTTTCTTACCTTTGAATGAGGTAATGAAAATGAAATTCTTTTTGCTGATATGCAATAACGTTGAATACATGTTGACATCCGCATATTTTATACCCCGTGTCCATACGTATTCCATACCTTCTTGTGATTTGGTGTATCAATGTTATCCACAATGCATTTATTTTATTAACTGACAACTTTCAAATTATTTCCAATCTGATTTTCTTCATTGTCGACAATCAAAACTAAGATAACAAGTCTAATCAAATGATTTTATTTTGCCATCAAGTTTTAAAATAAACATAATAATTTCATAAGGCTCATCGGAACTGATAAGATTAAAATTGGAATTTGAACTAATTGAATACTTGAGGCAAAAGACAGCAAGTCATGGGAGCCACTAAATTTCCTGTTTTTTTGCATCGTTTTGCATTTCATTGCTAATTGAAATTTTTATGGCACCAGGCATCAACCAGGAACTACTGACTGATACCGAACCAGAGGCTATTTACTTTGCACGCATTGATTGAAGTTTGGACAGAAGTTAGACCATGAGACCCTCCAGAAAAATTAAGTAAATTTTGAATGCCATCGATGTGTATTTCGTGAAGAGACCACAGACGAGTTATTGATTGAGGCACCACTAAACCCCCCCC